CTAAAGAAGTCAGGAGATGCTGAACTTCGAGGTATCTTTGCAATAAAATAGTGAGCAAACACCTGTCAGAGCTGTGTTTGTTCACAATCACTGTGTTTCCTCACTATGCTCATACCACACTGCTGGAGTTTCAGACATGCGCTAATATATGGATATTCGCTTCTGAGAGAGAGAGGAAAAAAACAAACAAACACTCTGATCCCTCTATCATATTTTTAATTCAGTGACAGGGGGGGAAAAATATGAATGTGGATGTACTTATCTTCGAGTTTTATGGAACTGCATCATACTGTTATACCAGTATAGTTCAAAGTTGCAGTAGTGTATTGAGTGTACATGCACGTGTAACTTGCTCTTCAAATCCTTTTAAGTTATCATTAGCTGTTAAATGACTTTATAAGTGGAATATAAGAATAGGTTGGAGATAGGAAAAGAAAAACTTAATTTCCAGCTGTTCAGAATAGAAATAGCACATGAAGTCATCATTACTGTATTTCTTCTTGTTCTGTCAATGAGATTAATCTATGTACTTTGTCATGTTTTGTCTTTGTTCCATCAGGTTCATTTTTAATTTGTTTGTTTCATAGCAGAATGTGCTAATAATGCTCTTTCCTGGGAGATATCTGAACCTATTAGTTTGAACATTAAACATCTTTAGCTATTTGGGAGTTAAAAACAGTTCTAAGTGAAGATATGCATGAATAAAACGTTCCCCTTCCTTTGGTAACATGGATAAAAAATGTCTGCAGTACAGTTAATCTCTTCAAGTTAATTGATCCATTTTGTATTAAGCATTGTATTTCTTTGAAACTTACTAACAATTTTTTGAGCCAACATTGTCTTTGCAAACAGCAACAAATGAGTTATAAGAGTGAAGACCGAGACGATTTCTGATGGTCAGAGGGGGAGAATTCTGTGAGTTGACTAAGATTTTTTTTGTTGTTGAAATGAAAAAGCAACAAGAAAATGTAGAATGTTCACAGCATGCCATTTTGCCTGGTGAAATTCTAGGCTGTTTTAGAAGACAGTGGGTTGTTGACTTACTTTGAAATATGATTGTGTACATGGACATGCAGGCATACATAGTGTGCTGTAAGATGGAAAACAGTTCCGCTGGGCCAGCTTGGTCTGAAATGCTTTAAGAATTTTTAGTTAGTGAAGCTTTTAAGATCATTTTTTTCTTTTGTAAGCTTTTGACATACTTTTTAGATAGAAAAACACTTTTATATGTAGGCTTTATATAAAAATAGTATGATTTGTTTGGTTCTAGGTGCAATGCTAAATTTACTGGTGTATATTAGCTAATTATTTTAACCAAATGAGATTTCAAAACTGTTCCATATATGCACTTTAGGTTCGCAACTGCTAAAATTTAAGTTCTGTCACTGTGTAAAGAACATAGAGAAGCATCTGTCATGTATCTGCCATGCTGCTAATAAACTGTTTCCCAGTTGTTTAGGGGCTAGATTTTATAACATTGGCATGATTTTATTCTTTTATTTTATTTTATCCAGTGCTCTTTTGTCAAGGAATAGGTCTGCTCAATGTTTAATTTACATATGTGAAATTACATACAGTGAGCAGATTAATGTAACTAATTTATTGTAGCTTTACATAGAAGAAAAGTGACATTAAAAAAAAAAAAAAAAGAGATGTTATTATTTTCTTCTTCCTGTATTAACTCATGTTGAGCACTACTGAAATTTTAGGCAATACTCTGCTGAAAATGTAGGCAAACCATATTTGAGCAGCCCATACATAACTGCCTGTTTCCACTTTTCTAACTGTGTGGTGAAACCCTGATAATTTAAATAAAAAGTGATTTTAAAAAATATTTTGTGTATACATAAACTGCAAAAATAAAAATAAATAAAAAAAATAAATTCAAAGGTCAGCTAAACTCCACTGCTATAAATTATTCCAATCTGAACAAAGATTCCTCACAAAACTTTCAGCTTCTAAGCAACCACCAATAAAAAATATGTTCTCTAAGTGCAAATTTAGTCCTTTAAAGCCTTACTCATGCAGACAGCTCCATCGAAGCTAAAGAAAACATTCCATTGATTCAGGTTGTACAGGGCCAGGACTCAGGAAGGTAGCTTTCTGTGATGCTCAAATGAATAAGTACAGACTGTGTGGTAAAAAATACACTGCAAAATGAGAGGCAGCTTCTTAATGATCTGGAATCCTTGATGTAAAATGATGTTGATGATCAGCATTTGATCAATCAGCATTGTGAATGATGTAGTGGAGAGCTGTGTGGAATGCACCACCATTGTATGCCAGGAATGAAGTGCAAAGACAACGAGAGACTGATGGTGGATAAGTGGTTAGCCTACTTTAACTATATAAAGATAGTCTGTCTTCCTCTCTGTGGGCCTGTGTCTCAGCTGTGGAGAAACTGGTTCAGTGGCTCGAATTAAAAGAAACTGGTTCAATGGCTCCTCCACCTGTAAAAACCAGTATTTCATCCACTAGAAGTACGTGTTCCTCTGCTCAAGAGAGAGGATACAGTGAGTACGCACCATGTATCACACTGTGGTTTTACCTGCACGACCACGGAGAGGTTATGAGGAGGTGGGATGGAGAACTCACCTTGGCCCTACAGGCATTCCAAAATTAGAGGCCACTTCTTAGTGATCTAGAATCCATGCTATAAAATGAGGCTGATGATCAGCAGGCTCAGCAGCTAAAAATACCCACTGTATTTATGTAACAGTGTAACGTGTTTTAGCTTCATAATAACATGAGGCAACAACTAATGAGCACATTGACTGGTGTACTTGAAACCTAAGATAATACTTAGTTGTAATTTCAGATTACATGTTACAAAGTACTTCTCCAGTGGTAGACAGCTGCAGGTGCGAGTTTTCCTTCTGAAAATGATGCGCTGGTGATAGAAATTATGGAATGCAACTGTGATTCCAAAACAAACCACCAGAGACATTTGCCCATCGTCATTTAAGAAGTTGGCAGCAGAGTTAGCATGTTCCAGATGTAAGTTTTCAAAGTCTAGGGTCACAACAGGGCAGTGTTCTCCCTTCTCTGCTGTGGAGTTTGTATTTTTCCCTTCCTGTACAGTAGAAGAGGCTGGTAGCACCCCTTGTTTGTTACACACCATGGGATCTGGATATGTTATTTTATCCAAAACAGATAATAATCTAGGCCGTGTCTATACAAGAAAATGCTTAACTGATTTTAAAAAGAATGATTATAAGCCAGGTGCACTTAAAACAGTTTGCCACCTCTTTAAATTGTTTTTGTAATTTACAAAATTCAGCTAAACTGATTGAAAAGATGATAAAGTCAATTTAAGTCACCTAGTTTAGGGAGCGGGACCTGCAACTTTTCCCTGTAGACAAGGTCTTGCCTAGTAAGTAGGAGGATCAATGGCAGGTTAATGCAATTGGCAATGTAAGAAGGTGGAAAAAACAGACTTATTATTTGTCTGTGCTACGCGGTAAACTACTCAGGCAGGGTTTTTTTTCTTCAGAGATCTCTCTACAGTGACAGCTAGCACTCTACTAAAATTAATACTAATAATATGGATAATGATGTGCTAAATTGTTTTCAGTATAGTTATTCCAATTTTACAGGAGTGTGGTATTGAACTGAATTTACTCCATTAAGACAAATACAGCTGCCTATAGCAGGAGGCCACTTTGTGCTTTGAGTTATGTGGGATTCTGATGGGAATCACATGCTTGTAGCTAAGAGATAAAAAGAGGTAGATAGAGAAGAGTAGACTGTATTGTTTTGTTTAAATTTACAGTTCACATAGCACTTGTTTTTCTTGGCATGTGTTATTTGCTACATGATCTAATAAATAAGCACAGGCACTGGTTGTTTGAAGCATGCTGAGTGATGACCCGAACTAGTAAGTATGCCTTGATGGAAAACTCTTACATAGAGAAACAGAACTTTTATTCATCAATGTAATATCCGATTATTTGCTGTGAATGAAGGGTTTGATTCTTCCATTTCTTGGACTATTTAAGGAAAATTATATCTATACAAAGCAATGGAATGGTTAGTTCACTGATTGTGTTTTGATTTTCTGCATGTTGGCCCATTTCTCATTTTAATGTATGCATTAAAATAACAGGGAGTGTGCAATGTCTTTTTTTTCTTTTTCTTTTTTTTCCCCCTGGGGTCTTTGCTCATTGTTTTCTGTCCAATGGTCAGTGCAAAAGGAGGAATGGCTTTAGGAAAAGGGTGATGCCACAGTTGTAGCAGGAATGTATTCTGTTGATATGATGAGGCAGAGCAGCAAGTACAGTATTAGTTTCTGCTGTGTTGTTGAATAAACCATAGAAAGTTTTGCAATGTAGAATACACATCCTCTTGCAACTTATTTCTCCTTTCAGCACGCTTCTGCTTTTCAGCAAGAGTGAGTAATGCTCTATTAGCAATTAAGAGCCAGATTTTTAAAGGTGCTTAGGCAGCTAAAGAGGTAGGTAGGTGACTAATAGGATTTAGAAGCCAAGCTTGAGAAAACTAAGTGTCTTCAGAAGTCTAAGAATTCTTACAGAAAGCCTTGGATTTCCTCACTCTACCCAATCAACTGCAGCCCGCCATCCTTTCTCTATTTTACTTAGCAAACTCATGCCCTGGGAGAACCTTTTTGATGGGTATTCCTGGTAATTCCAGAGGCAGTTCTGTTCTCCATGCAAATTTCCCTGTATTTTATGGCCATAAAGACAGCACCATGGATGTGTCTGCACGCACTGCTTTACCAGCAATGCACATCCCTTCCAAGGCGAGTTCGCGCTCCGAATCAATGGGTTGCTCTGCACGTGGAACGCAAGTCCAGGTCCTCAAACGGAAGGGAATCCAAAGTGTCGCTGCAGAAACCATAGCTCTTTATAGAGATGTTGCCCAGGGCAAGGCGGAGGGGCCTCAGGTGGCGGCGGGAACCGGGTTCAGCCACCGCCCCCTCCCGCGGCCCGGTCGCGCTTCCGCCCGCGTCAGCTGACTGCCGCGAGGAAGCGGCGGCGCGAGCCCCGGCCCAGCCCCGAGCCGCCGTCGTCTGCGGAGCACCGTCCCGACCCCCCTCCGCCATGGCAGGGCTAGTAGTGAGCGGAGCCCAAGTAAGTGTCCGCGTCACGCCGCGCACCGCACCACCTGCCGCCGGCGCCTCTCCGCCTCTTCCCTCCATCTCTGCGGGGGGTCGGCTGCTGCCGCTGGGAGCCCCGCGGAGGCATCGACGCCTCCCGTCCGCCCGTGCGGGAGTTCGGAGCGCCGAGCGCTGCGCGTGGAGCCCGCCGCGATCGTGCTGCCCGTCGGCCCGGCACAGGGCGCTGTGCGCCTCCGCCCCGGGCGCTTGAGTGCAGGGGGTTCTCGTTCTGTCCCTGTCGCAGCTCCTGCAGGCTCGCCAGGTGCAAAGGGCTCGTTCCTGAGGCTTTGCTGGGGAGCACCTCTGTTTGCACAGCGATCTCCAGTCCGAGTTCTGCATCTGGCGGTCAGGCCGGGCGTGGGGTCTGCTGGCCTAGCGGTGACCCAAAAGCACCCCATTTGCTCCAGCGCTCAGCCAGCATGTGGACCCTGAGGGCTGTGGGAAGAAAGGAATGAAGCTTTGGTTCTTTCAGAAAATGGTATGCCGTTGACCGGGGTGCTGCCCCTCGGGTTGTTCCTGTGCTCTGGTTTCTGTTTCAGTGTGGAATTCCTGTAAGCATACATGTGATAGGGAGGCAAGTGGCTAATTGCGCAGCTGCCTCAGGAAATGGTTCCTGTGGTCTCTGCATGCGCTGTGGCCCAGAGGAGCGTTGTGGTTCCCTTGGGCCTGGAGTAAATCCCTCCGAGTGAAGCATAGCTTTCATTTGGCTTTGTGCCTAACATCATCCCACCTGCTAGCAGGTTACAGTGTCGTACCGTGCCCATCTGACTGGAAATGTTATTCACGTGTAATGCCCTTCAGTGGAAGGCAATATGTTTTTGAAATGAATCCAAAAGAGGGCCACGAACATGGTCAGAGCGCTGGAGCACCTCAGCTGTGAAGACAGGCTGAGGGAGCTGGGCTTGTTCTTAGCCTCTGAAAGTAAAGCCAAAGAGAGATATGACTACTGTTGACTGATGTTAATTTGTTATGTTTTAAATATTTTGTAAATGCGTATTTTTTTCCTGAATTGTATACAGTGTATTGAAGAGTCTGCGAGAAGGTCTGAGCTGCCCACAGCCATCTGATGCTGGGATCTGAGTGTTTCTTTGGGATCCTGAGCTGAGTACCAGTAATGAAGAGTGTTTGATGATGACCACCTCAGTTTGAGGTGGAGAATTAGGGAATAGAGACATCTTTATCTAGTTCTCATCCCATGGGGTGTTCTGTGCTGGGTATAGAGAATCGGAGAAACCTGCTGTTACTGGTGTGTCCTGTACCCAAGGAGCCTAGATGTCTTGGGCAAGGTGTATTTACTCTCATCTCTCAGTGATGACATCTCTAGATATGCACTTGAAAGCTCTTTTTTTTTTTTAGGGTTATTTGAGGTGGATGCAAAAGGAAGAATACCAGATTGTGTATATTTGGTTGTTTTCCTGAGCAAATTATTTTGAACTGAACGACTAAAAATGAAGAGACATTGTTTTTTTTTTTGCTTGTCCAGACTGTTGAAGACTTGCTTCATACCAGCATTGTTCAAGCAGCAGAAGAGTGAATAAATAATGCTCTCCAAAACTTATTGAAGAAGTCTTATTGTGTATTGCATAGCTGGTGATCTGACAGTTGCTGCTGTTGTTATAGTCAAGAGGGCTCTTGAGGATCCCAAGCAAGTTTATATAAAAGGGATAGAGATCTGAAGTGAGTGTACTTTGTAGGAAAATAAATCTGCTGGCTTAAATTCAAAAAGGTGCTTGTAACAGTGAATGAGCTGAAGTGGACTTTGTGCAAGTGAAATACCTTTCACAAGGCCTCAGCATAACAACTGTATGCCACCTACAAATACAACTGTGTCCAATCTGTTTGTACCACTTGTGCAAGTATATTTATATAGTATAGTGGTTCAAAGACTGAAGCTTTACAACACGTTATGCATTTTGCCTTTTGCATGCTTCAAAACCTGCTTAAATGAACTTTTTTCTTCAACTTCTGTTCTTGTGGACCTAGAACAGCTGAGGATAGGTAAGTTTCTGGAGCAGTGGGAATGCAGGTTGGAATTGCTTGCTCTATCTCCACCCCTGTGGGGGAGAGATGGTGGTTGGTGCTCTTGCTATGGCTGTACTTGCACGAGATTGTCTTACACTCCTAGTGTTCACGGACATCAAATTTTAGTTGCATCCATTACATGTTACACTGAATTACTGCTTTGTCTGAAATATTCTGCTGCTAAAATGGTGTCTCTCCAAGGGTTTGCAAGCATCTATTTATAGTAATCTACCTTTCTGTGAAGAGTGAAGCAATTCTTGTTTGTGTACTTCATGTATATTGTAAAATATGTTGTGGTTTTCTTAAATGAAAACTGAAGGGAAAATAAATAAATATACATACATGCTTAATTCAATGGAATGTGGAAAATCGTGTCTGTTATGTCCAAACTATTAGGATGTAAACTAGCTAAAACTTTTCCCGGGTCCTTATATTTAGTTTCTAATGTCATATGTATATCTAATAGCAGAAATTATTGTAAGAATAGGCATGTCATAACAAGAGGGAAAAAGTTGTTCAACTGAACTTCAAGCTACTTGTTTTCTGATCATAAAAATATTCCACTGCAGTGAGGTTTGTTTGCTCAAGGTATGGAACAAAGTGAATTAAATTGAATGTGATTCCATATGATCAGATTGCAGACATTATTATTGTGTAAGAAATGGGGATAATTTGCACAAGTACATGCCATCAGACTGATCTGCAGAGGAGTCTCTATTTACCAGAAAGTGAAGTACTATTAAAACAAAATTTAACCTTTCTGCATATTTTTCATCTAATATCCTGTAGGCCAGTGGGACATGGTCTTGAAATTGTATTAGATATCTAGGTAACAGCTGTATCTTATAGATAGTGATCTAACACAGTGATGAAATCCACTTAAATAGCAAGTTGCCATTTAAAGGCAACTAACATTTATTTAGCAAAATATTTGAAATGTCAATTTTGGATGAGTCAATACAGACATGAAGAGTTCATGACAATATGTTTAGCAGACTTTGTGGGGATTCTCTCTGAAGAAATCAAACCAGACCTCCAAGACAACAGAGCTGACAGAATACATGAAGTGTAATCATGTTATTGTTTGTGCCTTTCTGGAAATATCATCACTTACTTCATCATGGCTAAAGAGAAATAAGAATAGACTATTTTTACTACCATTAATTCTTCCTTTGTTTATTGAAGGTAGTTTAGATAGGTAGGTATTGAAAGGAAGAAAAATATACTTTAGCATTTAGGGTACAAAGGGGAGTGAAACAGCAGTTGTGTTGAAGCCAAAAATCTTTAAGAGTTAAATCACTGTGTAAACAAGCCTGTATTTTTGGTTTCTTCTATCTTGAGTGACCTTCTTGCTCTGTCTCTAGCATATCACTGGAAATAATAATCTTCTCAAAGAAGGGGTATGAAAATGGTTTGACTTTGTACTGATTGCTTTTTTTGTCCAAAGATTTTGTAATGTTCCTGTACTGAATGACTTCCGTACTGCAAAGCAAACTAGAAAGTCCTTTGAAAGACTTACAAAATGTTTTCCTTTGGAGTATCGGAAGGGTAATCTGAAGTAATGCTAAATTCAAGTATTAACAGTGGAACAGAATATGATACACTACTAGAAGGAATAAATGCAATGTGTTTGATCAAATTATTGTTACCTGAAATGAGAAAAATATGCTATATTGTAAATAGGACTAAGCACTTGTTAAGAATTAAGCTGATTGCACTGAAAGAAAAATGAGATTGTGATAGATTCTGCAGCAGTAAAAACTGATGTAGCTTGAAGCTGTAATGAATGTTCATTATACCGTATGTTGTCATTGGATCAATGAGACAGAATCTGGACAGGAAACTGTAAATAATCTACTTATGACATGCTTCCTTTTTGCTTTCAATTCTCAGGTGTCCTACATTAGTCAAGACTGTGAAGAAATTCCTGAATTCCTGGGAAGAAAATATGGACATATGGCAAAAAGACTAGATCTTAGCTTCAACTTGTTAAGGTATGTTGTAATGTTTAGGTTTTTCAAGTGCACTACAGGGCACCCACTCCAATCCTGGATTTTTTTTTTTTTTTTCTCCTCAAAATAGAAGCATACATATATGTGAGTTACATTCAGTTATTGTATGAGTTATACTGTTTTATCAATGTTTGTCTTCTCTTCTTTGGAACACAAGTAACCAGGTGAGTCTGTAAATATCTGGTGTAAATGTAAAAGATGCTCAGTATGATTTATTCTCTTCAAAATGGAAAATAAGCAATATTACCTGAAGAAGTGAAGAATGGGATGAAATGTGAATTATTCTTAACCAAAAAGCAAGTAAGTGTGTACTTCTCCGTTTCCTTTTTTATTTGTGAATCTTGTGTTATTGTAAATGATTTGTAATGCTCTGTTCCTAGGCTGCGTGTATGATCGATAAGCATACAGATGTCAGCCTAGTAAGATTATCACATTAAAAAAGATAATCAGAGATAAATGGAAAGCACTCAGTGGCATTGCAAGCTCACAAGAAAATCTATGAAGAAAGGTCTCCAGAGAGAGATCCTTCCTCAGTGGAAGTCAGCCCTTAAATGGAGTCTAGGAGAGGTGGAGCCAGCTCCACCCCTTCCGATCACGCAGATGAATTGCCTTCACTTGTGCTCCTGTGACTGACTCATTGCTTGCCTCAGGTGGTCAATCAGAGGTTCAGGCTATGATCCAACAGTTCCCCTACACTGTGTATGATTTTATTTTGTGGAGCTATATAGATAAGGGTTAAAGCTAAATGCAGTTAGAAGTTATAAATCAATTCTAAATTTTTTTTAACGTATGGATTGATTAATAATTTTATAGTATTCCCATTAATCATTAAGAAAATACTAAACAATACTCATTTTCATTTAATTGTGTGAAAAGCCTGGTGGGGTTCAGTATTGTATCTTTCAGATTTGAAACTTTGTAGATATGTAGGGAAAAAAAGTGGCATATAGTTGTCTTTTTAAGAAAGTGTAGTTTTTTAGCATTAGAACTGTACATTCTTTCTTTTTCCTTATGTTTCACTGGAAGGTAAACTCAGAACCTACCTGTGAGGAGTGAGTCATGTAGAAGTAACATGCTAGTTCTCCTAGCGAGAACAGTCATGGGTTTTATCTTACATAACGCTAATAAATGTTATCTTGAACTGCCATAAACTGAAAGACTGATTCCTGTATGCAAGAGGCTGCAGAGCAAAGGAGACACTTAATCTATGGATTGCCATTATCTTAAGCTTACCATATATCTGTCTTGTGGATGTATACCTGTGGCAACTGTAATCAGAAGAGAGATTATTGTCTATGTATTCATAGGGGGAGAAACTTTAAACTTGAAATATATCTTTAAAAAGTATTTTGGCTTTCTACAACAAATTTCTGTCAGTGTACGTGTAGGTTGAATGAAGAAGACCATGGGTTTTCACTCCTGCCGTGGATAAAAATGGGATTTGCTAGCATTAATAATATGCTAATATAAGGCACTTAGCCAGTCATCCTTTAAATAGGCACATAATGTACAATAGCTTTTCATGTCTACCACTGGATTGCTATGGTATTGGAAGAAAGTGTATGATGATGACTGTGAATTGCCACATTTTGGGATTTACTAGGTGGGAAATTGAAGTTAGTTCTAAAAATTAGCATATCAGTTCTATCGTTTGGACACAGCAGGTAAAAGCTAGGAAGAAGAGAGGAAATTGATTTGTTACTTGAGATACTTGTGGTAGCATTTTAATCTTTGCCTAAGCTATTTTCAATAAACTCTGCTGGATGTAACTTAATTTGAATCAGACCTGTAAGATTAGATGATCTGTAAGACATAAATATCTTCAACTCCAGCTGAAGTCAGTGGTATTCTGTAGGGTCTGTGTTTGATATTTAACTTTTTCAATTGGATACTCCTGTGTAGTGGAAATGCTGAGTCATGACCTGAAGCAGTGATTGAGCACCTGGTGGGAAGGCAGGGCCAACCCAGGGGAGCTCAGGTGCATGCAATGTTCCTGAGTGATTGGAAGGAGTAGAGCCAGGATCCACCCCTTTCAGAGCTCATTTCAAGGTTGGCCATGGAGGTTGGCCATCTTGTTGGAGATTCCTGTTTGCTTGAGGCTCTCTAAAGGTAAGTGCCTTCTTTCCTTTATTTCTGTGCCTGTGGCTGTTGCGTTTGAGCAAGTCCTCACTTGCTGCAGCCTAGGACTTTGCTGTTTTGCTGTTATTGCTGTGCTTTCCATTACATTCTCTAACAAATGTAATTGTTACATTCTCTAACAGAAAGAGAAATACACAGTGCTGTACTTATTAAAATCAGCACTGATTTTAACTGAACAGGATGCATATGCTCAGTCTCTTGAGGCTCTTTCTGATGGTACATGATCCTGAGGAGTGTCTCTTATAAAACTGTGACTGCTCAGTGTTCCCTGAATTTGAGCTGCGATGTCTAGTTAGCAAACAAGGGGATTTATGGGTTGTTTGGGTGTAGGTACCAAAGTCAATTCATGATTCTGCTCTAGTGTTCTTGGAGAAGTGAATTAATCTGAACTGGGTAATTATAGATTGACCGAAGGGAGAAGTTATTAGTAGTAAATAGATTAGTTTTCCTTGTATGATTCATTCTAGATCAGCATATGTGTGTGTTCTTTGAAGGAAAACAAATATAGTGGTCATTGATTTTCTCCAAGTAGTATCTGGGCCATAGAAATGCTGAGGAGTTTATTGCTTGTTCTCAATGTCAGATAGGAAATAAGTATTTACCAACTTCTGTGTTTTTTTCATATGGGGTTTTTCCTACTTTCCATAAGCAAGGGTACTGCTGTATTTTAAAAGGAGCCACCCTCGTGTACCAACTAAACAGTATATTGTGTTGCATAAGTATTAGTAGAAATTCTGAAAGCTTGACAAATTAACAATTGAGCAATGGAGGAAGCTTTTTTTCATTCTGTGGACACCAGTCACTTAATGTTGCTGTAATAAGTGTAGTTGCATGTGGAGCGAGAGAGAGATACAGTGTTTATAATGCGTTCACTTTTTGATCAGTTGGCAGCAGACAGTTCTTTCCAGGCGGTGCTGTCCTTTCAAATCCAGAAATTTTGTGTGGTTGTTGGCTTCCAGTCTTTATTGTGTGCGCGCATACATATGCACCTAAGAGATTCTTGTCATAAAGATAGATTTCCGCTTCATGATATGTGTGCCAGAATACTTCCTTACGCAAGAAATATGCATAATATTAGACTTGATTAAAAAATTACTGTAGTGAATGTCACTGATGTTTACACCATGGTAATGTAGATTACTTGGTTGCAAAGGTTAGGATAGCGCTAAGTAAGTAATTTTGTTGCTCAAAGAACTTTTGAATTTGTCCCTTAATTTCGTATTTCAGTAGATGATGTTGTGTATTTTTGGAAAATATTTTCTTGCTGTTGTAACAAAGCAAGGAGTTTATTCTCTACTATGCAACTCTTTTTTTTTTTTTTTTTTTTAAGTTGTTGAGCTAATATGTATTTAGATAATGATTTTTAAGAATTTAGGGATATTGTCTAATTTGCTATTGGTTGTGATGGCACTCCTGGCTCTAATCTTTGGTTCTGTGATTAAGAGTGATTATATGGGTTCAGTGTTCTCATTTTTGGTGGTTTTCTTACTTGGATTGCTCGTCTTGCTTCTTGGCTGTGATGAAAACAAATGAACACAAAAGAGGAGAATTAAATTGGAAAGGTCAAGTGTTTGTTTTTTTTTTTGTCTTGGGAAATTTATATGGAGAAATAAATTTTCACCACCTACAGAATTCTTCTCAGATTTGAGTCTTCCTTGCTGTTAAATAAAAATTGGGGCCAATATAGGCACTTTGTTCTTTGCATCAGATGTTGTAAGTCTAACAATGTTAGATAAATACAAATAGTTGCTCTTTAAGAGAGCTCTCTTACTTTTTATTTTGCCTTTTTGAAGAACTGCTCTCTATCCTACATTACCCAGCGTGTTGCGTGGATCCAACTCTTTTGGCAGCCAAAGCAAGTGACTGCTATCTCTTTCCCTCAGGAGGGAGGAGGAAAATAGGAGAGGTGAGTGGCAGAAAAGGTGGGAAAGAGGAAGAGTAGCAGCAATTTGTAGCAGCAATGAAACAAAGGGAAAATCTGGTGTGTATTTGAAGGCGTGGTGGTTGTAATCAACAAGATATAGTACAGCCCTATTCTGTCTCCTTTTCTACCGGTGGTAGACTAAATTCCTTCAACTCCAGATCACTGTAGTCCTCTTGTGAATTATTTCTTCTCATCCTGTTTTCTTCGCAAGTTTTGTTTAAACAGTTTCTAATGTGTTTTGTTGGACTGCTGAGAGGGTTGTGAAGAAGATGAAGCCAAGCTCTTGTCAGAGATGTACACCAAAAGGACTAGAGTTAGTCATTGCAGGCTGCAGCAAGGGAACAACTGTATGTAAGGGAAAAAAACTTCACAGTGAGAAAGATTGAGTGGAAGAAGTATTCAGGCTATAGAACCTTCATCCTAGGTGCTATTCAAAGTGCAACTGGACAGAGTCCCAATCAACCTGATCTAACTGTAAAGTTGCCCTGATTTGAGCAGTGGATTGATGACCTCTAGATGCCTCTTCCAACCTAAATTACGCTGTGATTCTGCATCTCTATTGGTGTGGTCGTCTGTAGCAAAATGGCCAGAATTAAAGCAGTTGTTTGGAGTTGTTAGTGATTTTCAGCTATTTTAGAAATGAACTAATACTGCGTATTTTAAATCAGGCATATTTCAGTTGCAGAGTTGTTTTGCTTTGGAATGCTACTTCTGAGTCTTATAGCAACTGTATTCGATAGTCTTCAATGGTAATAGAGTGCTGTAAGGGCCAATATTTTGTTCTGTAATATGTGGAATGCTATTCCCCAGTTTCCATTTAATGAAAGAATGGAGCACATGAAGGAAGATTACTGATTGCCTGTGCCAATGTTGCTGGGGTGCTTTGCTGAAAATAGTTTCAAAAGGGAATGTGGAACTG